TCAAACATGAATATAGGTTCTCATTTGTTGTTAAAACTCATCTAAAAAAATAAAAAACCTAACGAAGTCTATCAAATTAATATTTCAAGCAGTAGTCAAGTCAAATACATATGCCCATATTTTAAACTAAGAAAATATTACTCTCAATAAAAAAATGTCAACTTTGCAGTTACAGTAAATGTTACGTAATCATGTAAATTGCATATTACTTAAACGACCAGCAACCAGAAAATAAGTACGTATATACATGTCTGTTTAATTACGTATTAGACAATATTTTTTTTTGTGATCGGAGTACAAATTTATGTATTACTATATTCAACCTTCATTTTGGTTTCTGTTAGTTTGCATAGCCGACGAAAATTAATAAATAAACAATCTCCCAGCAGGTGTTCTAATTATTATACATATTGCAAAATTATTTGTATCTATATTACATACGTTATCTTTATCTTACAATCAAATAGGCACAAATACGTCCAGGTGTGTGTAATACTCCTATTCATTCAATAAGATTACAATGGTATTACTTGCAATTTTCATTTAAAACGAGACGTATGATTATAGTATAATAGTACATACTCATTTAATTCGTTAATAACAAAATTCATTGGAATTTAACTAATAATAAGATAATGAAGATGCAAGACAGAGATTCATCTGCAGATCCATCCGCCTTGTATCTTGATTACCATTAAAAAAAACTACTCTAGAGAAGTCCCTACAAGTAGCACGAAACATTGGCGGTTGTTTTTTTTATTTTAAATAAATAACCTATAACCCTTCTTGTCTTTTATTTCACACTAAGTACTAAATAGGGAAATAATGGAGAATTAAATTGTTGTCAAGTGGTTCACAATTGTTTATCTTCGATCTTTTTGCAATTACTTAATATTTAAACGATTTGACCTTTGGCAGATGAACATATGATTCAATCTTGACCAACACTGGTATAATGCGCCAAAAAACTAATAATTAATATAATCGCTCGGTTGTTAATAATTGTCTCATTTTTTTTCTTTAATTTAGCAATTTAAGAAACAATAGAATTGCTTATTCAGGTTTTTATATTAACTTCAATCGTTTCTATTATGACAATGCAAAATCTTCAACGTTGTTTGAACAAAACGTTTTAAAGCAAATGAAAAATCAATAGGTCAACCTTTTTTCTGTAAGAGGGTGTTTATAATTAATTAAAATAACCTATTCTGTACGGCAACATCAATTCCATATAAGGCTAATTGAAGTAATAATCTGGAGTAGTGTATATTGAGTGATGGTAACAGAATTTAAATTAAATTGGTTGTTACAAAACACTTATTAAAATACATATGTATGTAGTTATATAATAAGTGTATCTAAAGTGCCTATGTATCAATTAAGTATTGGTTTTAATACATAAGAAAATCTAAACGAACAATAATTTGTTTGGTCAAAAGCTGCTGTTAATTTTTATTAATTGTAACAATCTTAACCATCTGTAATCTTAATATCATGATGACAAGATGGTCACATCAACAACAAAATTGAACCATTTGAATAAAATGAAGTTGAATGAAATATTCAATGCAAGATTCAAAAATAAGATTATAAAAAAATAGGTTATGAAAAAAGAAATGATAAAAATGATTTCATTTAATTACTAATAAAAATTAATTTTTATTCCGAAACAGTAACTTTTAATTTTAATTTTTAAGTTAACTCCTAAAACCCATGAAAATTTCATTACATCTGATTTTATCTTCAAACGCCGACTTTCGATTTTCATATTATACAATTGCAAAAATGATTTAATTAAAAAAAAAATGATAAAACCACAAACCATTTAGGCAAATAATTTGAGAAAACATTGGCAGATTAGATAGCAACTGAATCGATCTCTTAATTTCAAACTGTAGTACCTATTTACAAAAAACTGATAATTTTTATCAGTAAAAAAAGGCAACACAATTTGGAGAGAGGCAATAATTAATATCAGAATCAAGTGAATTGTGCTGGAATTAAAAACCTCCCAGTAGCTTTTTACGTGTCACTCGCTTTATGTTACCGCAATTTAATCAATGAACAACAGTAATGTACCAAAACACATGTCTAAACCTTTGACTTGTACAAAAAGGCTAAACATTATCAATAAAAGTAATTTTCCGTGACAGGTACAATAAATGTCTTTGTTTTAACGATTTTTAGATAAATTGTGCTCAGACAATACGTAATACCATTCCATAGAGGAATTCTAGATCAATTTTTCCTTTTCAGTTTCCCACAATAACGCTTAGTTTTTGAACTACCAACGATTAAAAATTAACTAATAGAAATGGGCTGTTTGCAAGTAGGGGATGCAGATAGAGTTGCCACGCGTACTTTATTATAAAGTAGTGTAGTCTATTTCGACTGTGCGTACGTTATACTTTACAAGACACATAAAGTACGCAAAAATACTTTATTTAAGGCCTTAAGTAAACATCGTAATTTTGTAAGCGATTATTCGAAATTCAGAGTATTTTTACATCAATAACATTGCACAGAAAAATGGCAAGCCATATTTACGGAACAACCTGATTTCCCAAATCTGTTCAAAGTAGTGTGTGTCACTTTTGCTATCCGTTCCGGCCACTTCAGCATTTACAGAAAGAGTATTTCTCTGTTATGAACGCAAAGTGGCGGGACGACAGGAATAAAGCTTCATTAAAACTAATTAAAAATGAACTTTGAGTTTACTTAAATCTTTGTTTGCCATGTTTAGAGGCTATTAATCTATTTGAGAGCAACAACAATTTGTTACTGGCTGCTAGGTGTAACAAAAAATATGTTTATGCTGAGTACTTTTTTTTAAACCTTTTAGTCGAAAAATACTTTATGTCATGCCTGAAAAGGTGGCAACCCTAAAGGCAGACAACTAAAAGTCACACATCATCATTATTCGAAAATCAAATGACGATAAGTGATTTTACCAAAAATACTGTTTACATGTTTTCTACGAAACGTATTATCGAAGTCTAGATTGTCAAATTACACGCCACAATAGCCTTGACTTTTGATTTCGCATTCTGAGCCTGCAGAATAATCTGACAATAAGTAATTTTCAACACAGCGAATAATATAGGTACTTACATAAAAAGTAACACATATCGAAGATTTTATGTGAAAAAACATGTCTTGAAGTACGCGGAAGAGACATCTCATAGTTTTAAAAGCAATAAAAAGCAATTAGAATCAATACATTGATCTATCGATGGAAGAGAATGGAGAAAAAGTGAAAGAAAAACAATGCTAGATACATGCAATAAAAAACGAGGTGAACAACAATTTTCTCGATAAGTAATAATGTTGACAAAGTAGTTTTTTTCGATATAAAAAATAACGAATGCACAGGAAACAAACGACATGGTTTTTTGCAATCATCGCCGGTAGTAAAACATATTATGACAGTAAGGGCAAAATTAAATTGAACTGACTTTTCCCTGCGATCATTAACATATGCTACACGATAAGAGGTACAAAAAATAATTTTATAGCCTGGCATATTATGATAGTAATACCAAAATTAAATTTTACTAACTTCTTATTAAGGTCATTAATATGTCAATTGGTAGGAAGCACAATAAATGATTTAATGTCCATGCATATTGGGATAGTAAGGGCAAAATTGAATTAAACTAACTTTTCTGTACGGCCATCATAAGTCATAACAATCAAAAGTCATTTTATTTATGATTAAATATTACCTGTTATAGTACAGACAAAATTAAATTGAACTAACTTTTCCCTGCGATCATTAACATACACTACACGACAAGATGTACTAAAAATTATTTTATAGCCTGGCATATTATGATAGTAATACCAAAATTAAATTTTACTAACTTCTTATTAAGGTCATTAATATGTCAATTGGTAAGAAGCACAATAAATGGTTTAATGTCCATGCATAGTAAGGGCAAAATTGAATTAAACTAACTATTCTGTACGGCCATCATAAGTCATAACAATCGAGAGTCATTTTATTTATGATTAGATATATTACCGATTACAGTACAGACAAAATTAAATTGAACTAGCTTTTCCTTGCGATCATTAAAATATGCTACACGACAAGAGGTACAAAAAATTACTTTATAGCCTGGCATATTATGATAGTAATACCAAAATTAAATTTTACTAACTTCTTATTAAGGTCATTAATATGTCAATTGGTAGGAAGCACAATAAATGATTTAATGTCCATGCATATTGGGATAGTAAGGGCAAAATTGAATTAAACTAACTTTTCTGTACGGCCATCATAAGTCATAACAATCAAAAGTCATTTTATTTATGATTAAATATTACCTGTTATAGTACAGACAAAATTAAATTGAACTAACTTTTCCTTGCGATCATTAACATACACTACACGACAAGATGTACTAAAAATTATTTTATAGCCTGGCATATTATGATAGTAATACCAAAATTAAATTTTACTAACTTCTTATTAAGGTCATTAATATGTCAATTGGTAAGAAGCACAATAAATGATTTAATGTCCATGCATATTGGGATAGTAAGGGCAAAATTGAATTAAACTAACTTTTCTGTACGGCCATCATAAGTCATAACAATCAAAAGTCATTTTATTTATGATTAAATATTACCTGTTATAGTACAGACAAAATTAAATTGAACTAACTTTTCCTTGCGATNTCGTTTTCAAACCTACCCAAGAAGGATGTCCATATGCGTTCAAACCAAAATCGACTAAATTTTGTACAAAACCGAAAAAGTAAAAAAACAAGTACTGCTGACGTAATCACCATCCAAACCCGCCCCCATCCCCCATGTCATCAAAAATAATCAGAGCAGACACCCCCTTCGCCCCTGTAATTCTTACGTAATACTTGAACGGTCCCTTACCCATTAGATAACATGAATATTTTATTCGTCATTATTGGTTCAATATAGGCGACAAACAAAAAAAATCGATCAAATTCCACGTAGGGCCCAATTAACTATTCCTACACCCAATCTGGTCCAAATACATATTGTACTGTTTTCAGATTTTTGCTACCTTACTAGCGGCATCTTCTCAGATACCAGTGGGCGTATCCGTAGCGTATTCGGCAGTACTGGTGCCTCAGCTAGAAAGCCCAGAAAGTGATATTAAAGTTACCGTAACGGAAAGTTCGTGGATTGGTAAGAAAAAATCCTTCTAATTAGGGATTCGGGTCTAAAAGTCATCGTTGGTTTGAGTTGCTTTCTAACGTTTCGCTAGCCAGAGTGGCGACTTCTTCAGAGGTGTTTCCACCTACAATGACGGATGTGGACTGACGAATTCTCCAACGCAAGTTGTATCTATTCCGCTGGGTAGGAAACGGGGCTTGTTTGGGTTTAGTCAACCGTTGGGATGTTCCTGAGGGTCAGGTTTCAGATATGGTTGAGTCTGAGGGTCTTCTCTTTCTTTTTGAACATCTCCGGATGTTTTTGGATCTCGATAGCCTCTCTAACTACCTGGCTGTGATAGCCGTTGACCGAAAGTAACAATTTGCAGTTCTCAAAGAGTATTTTTTGGTCACCATTACTCAGTAAGTGTTCGGCAGCACTTTTCAGGGTGTCCTAGCTGGTATCTTGCTTTACGCTCCCTCAGTCTCGTTCCCGTCGATCTCTTAGTAGTTCCTATGTAGACCTTTCCACAGGAACAGGTTATTCGGTAAACCCCTGAGGCTGAAAGAGGATTCCTTTTGACCTCAGTTGATCGGATGGTCTGATGGATCTTCTCTGTAGGTTTAAAGATGATTCTGATGTCGCGTGTCTTCAAGACTCTGTCAATTTGATCCATGACCTTAGGGACATATCGTACCAGAAAGATAGTGCGACTTTCGTTGATCCATGTTATCTTTAGGCTGTTCGTTGATCTCTCTAACTGGCTCTTTTTGTAACCATTCGCCCCGAAGGCGGTCTTGAAGTGTCCCAGTTCCGTCTGAAAATTTTCCGGTTCGCAGATCCTTCAAGTTGTCCTAATGTCATAATTCTAACTTGTGTGATGTTTGGATAAAGCGTGCAGATACCTGTCCATATCTGTGAGTTTCCCATATACCATGTGGTCCAATTTGTTGTCTCATTTCCCCACTGGTTGGTCTTCTCAGTCTCCATGGTGAACTGGTTGCTTGGATGTCATCCGTTCAGGTGTTGGAGGAAGTGATTCAGCTTATCTATTCCGTGTTCCCAAATTAAGACCTTTAGACTCGAATCAGAATAGCATCAGTTAACCAACTGGCCACGAAACTCTTTACCAATTTGTTATATAGGAACAATTTTTAATCTTGATTTTATTACAGCTAGTTGTGTAGCATTAGTGGTACCATTGGGGTCGATTGCAAGTGGCTTCCTAATGGACAGGATAGGACGTTTGAACACCATCAAGTTAACCGCGATACCCAACACCATAGGATGGGCCCTCATCGCACTAGCAACGAATGCTCCAATGCTATTAATCGGACGATTATTAACGGGGTTTGGAGGGGGTACGATGAAAATTATATACACAGGGTGACGTACAAGGAAACTTAAATCACTTTACTTTTTAGCTATTGGTACAGGTCCTGCAATTGTTTATATCACCGAAATAGCAAGGCCTGATATGAGAGGTGCTCTCATATGTACTTTTGCATCGTGTGCCTCTTTTGGTGAGTGAACTGTTGTTGATTTTCATAGTCATTAGTGTCCATTAGCTGTATTAGTCACTTTTTGACTCCATTCATATTAGTGAGGTATCAACCCTCTCCCACTTTTACAAATCCCATGTCCCACCTTGCAGAGCTTTATGATGCATGGACAGCCTCTTAGTCATTACTCTACATTGCAATTTTTATTCTAAGTCCGGAACTACTTTCGTGGACATCAAGGGATAATTCTGAGATTGTTTTAGGGATGCTCCTAACATATCTACAGGGATGGGTCTCGGATTGGCGTGTTTTGGCATGGAGTACCATAGCGTATAGCATCATTCCCGTAATATTCCTTTGGTTCATTCAGGAGAGTCCATTGTGGCTGGTCAGCAAAGGAAAAAACGAAAGGGCCAAGAAGTCGCTGGAGTGGTTCCACAAATACCATGATATGCGTATCTGTTCAAACTAATTTAATATGTTGGCTGACACACAAATATCTCGTAAGAAGAAAATGATTTGTTTTCCAGGAAACATTATATATCAGACCAAACTACTATATATACAATCAGTTATAAGTAGTTTGTGTGATACGAATATTTCTAAACCTTTTGAAATAAAAACTGCAACATTCTGTTGATCGATATTAACATGAAATGCATATTCATCTACTGATAACGCTGATATAGTTTGATAATAGTGCACTAACTAAAAATGTCAAATCATTTTACACCACGTTTCGCAATCAGTAATGATCAATAACAATGATTGCACTGTTTCAAAGGGGCCATTAAAATAGTTGCAGTTGTCTTGGTTCTTACACTTAGTTTCACCCTTCGTTTCAGTTTATTTTCCTGCTTTTAATCTATGAACCCTGATTTTTGAAGAAACCTCATTTGTATTATGGATCCATTAGGGTAAGACATTGAAGCATCACAAAATATTTGTATTTCTCTTTTTTATGATCCCTTTTCAGGGCAAGCTGTTACAGCTTACATAAGTAAGTTTTTTTTTACACGATATAGCGATATATTTAAAAATAGACCTTTTATAGAATTGATCCTTCTACAGGACCGTCGTACGACCGGAAACGGGATGAAAACCTTACAGAAGTAACAGCAAGCACCAAATCACTTAGTTTTTATGACAATAAAACGTTTAAAAGTTTATTACCACAAGTAAGTCTTAGCAAAAATTAGTTATCGTTTGGGAAGGTTCTCGAACTTTCTAGAAAATTTCGACGAATTTTTTACCTTACCTATATATATATAAATGTAGATACTGTTATGTATTATATCGTAACTATAAAGTACTTTTATAGGCATTTTACAGCAGGGGAAGTCCACATTGCACATTTTTTAAAGTTCGAGTTATTCCTTAATAATAATAATAATAATAAAAAGTAGAATGAAACAAAGTCACGAAACCATACCGACGTATACAGAAACGTGATATAAAGAGCCGGATTTTATAGATCATTAATGGCTTACTTCATAATAATGGTTTCTTTTTAAAAAATAAAACAATTACAAAAAGTCATCATCATAAGGTCGTCAGTCCTAAGACTGGTTGTACACGCATTACCACTCTTTCCTACCCTGCGCTAATCTTCGCATTTCCTTAAATCTAGAACATCCCACATCCTAAACTATTTGCGAACAGTAATCTAATCATGGTCTACCTCTACCCCTCCTCATGCCTGAGAAAGTGTCCTACCAACCTATCTCGCCTATTTTTTATTAACGTCCATGGAGTCCTCTGTTCTCCTATTCTTTCTAATACCTCTTCATTTCTAACATTCTCTATCCATGGTATCCTCTTCATTCGGCGGTAACACCACATTTCGGACGCTTCTAACCTTTTCTTTTCCACAGCGCCCATCGTCTATGTTTCGCACCCATACAGTGCCGCGCTCTAAACACACCTTTAGCAACCTTTTTGAAATTTCTAAATTAACTATTCGCAAGCATAGAAGTGACTTCTTCTTATTGAAGGCGACTCGACCCTGGGCTATCCTCTGCTTTATATCCCTACTACTTATTCCGTCCTGACTTATCTTACTTCCTAGATACCTAAAATCAGCCACTTCTTCTAATTTTTCGTCTTCTATCTTTATATTCGTTTATTACAAAAAAGTATCTGGTAGAAAATATATGTTACATGCAAATCAAGACGACACAAAACACGATCCAGAGTACACAAAAAACTGTAAATCTCACGAAGAGTACACTATTCCTATATCCAATCTGGTCCAAGTATTTTACTATATTTTCAGATTTTTGNTTATTTCTTATTTAACGTAAATTTGTTTTAGGGCAAGCTGCTACAGCTTACAGTAAGTATATTCTTTACTTTGTACTGGAAGGTATTTTAAAAGAAGCCTTTTTTAGAATTGATCCTTCTACAGGATATTCGTACGACCAGAAACAGGAAGAGAAACTAATAGAAATAATAGCAAGCACCAAATCACTTAGTTTTTATGACAATAAAACGTTCAAAAGTTTATTACCACAAGTAAGTGTATTTTCATTTATTATTATACTATGTGCGGCGCAAAGACCGTGAGAAGACATAAAAAAACACTTAAACACAATTAATTAATTAATTAATCAAGTTTTCGTAATCGCGAAAACCTTATCAATTTACGTTTTTACCATTAGATTTACTTGTTGATTTCCAAAAATTAACTGTTAATATCGTCAAATTGTTTTATTATTTCGAGGCCAAAGAGTACATGACACATTACTATTTGATAATATTATCAATTTTAATTTATTTAAAACACATTCGTAGTGTGTAGGAACATTTGTAATTATACATATAAAGTACTAAATAGTAACTAGAGAGAATTTGCATTTTAGTTGTTATTATTAATTAGTCCTTAATGATAATGAGAAAGTAAAAATGAAACAATATCACGAAACTACTTGTATTCGTATAGACATAAGTAATTGTGTGACAATTTTATAAATAAATAATGAATAGTTAGAATAATTCCTTCGTAGTATGTTCTTATTCAGGTCATAAATATCATACATATATTAGCAAAAAAATAACTTATGGTAATAAGCGGCAAATCAGGACTATACGGGGGTGATAGTCTTTGGTATTCAGAATACATACACAAACAACTGCAAATTCTACAAAGTCCTCAGTGAAATATTCCTATACTCGATCTGGTCTAAGGATTTCCCTTTCTTTTTAGATTTTTGCTACATTACTAGCATCATCTTTTCATATAGCAGTAGGCGTATCATTAGCGTATTCAGCAGTATTAGTGCCACAACTAGAGAGTCCAGAAAGTGATATTAAAGTTACCGTAACCGAAAGTTCATGGATAGGTAAGCTAAATCCTATTCCCTCAAACACTAGTATTTCTTTTTAAATGTTTATTTTATTACAGCCAGTTGTGTAGCGTTAGTGGTGCCATTAGGGTCCATCGGAAGTGGCTTCCTAATGGACAGGATAGGACGTTTGAACACCATCAAGTTAGCCGCAATACCCAACAGCATAGGGTGGGCCCTCATCGCACTCGCAACTAACCCTCCCATGCTTTTAATAGGACGATTGTTAACAGGGTTTGGAGGGGGTAAGAACGAAATTATATACAGTTGCAGGGTAGCGAATAAAAATATTAAAATTATTTTTAATTTTAGCCGTTGGTACGGGCCCAGCAATTGTTTATATAACCGAAATAGCAAGGCCTGATATGAGAGGTGCCCTGTTATGTACCTGCCCGTTGTACGCCTCTTTTGGTGAGTAAATGTTTGTTACAATTGGTAATATTTCGAAGAACAATCATATATTATTAATTAAAGGGATGGTAATAACGTATCTACAGGGTTGGTTCTCCAGTTGGCGTATTGTAGCGTGGAGTTCTATAGTGTACACCATTGTCCCCGTGTTATGTCTATGGTTTACTTACGAAAGTCCCACCTGGTTGGTTAGTAAAGGGAAAAACGAAAGGGCCAAGAAGTCGCTGGAGTGGCTTCACAAATATCAAAGCAAAAATCCTGAACAGATATTAGCATTAGAAAATAATAGAAATAAATCAACTAGGAATAGATGATAGATTTTATGGCAGCATTGAAGATAGAATTATTAGTAAGATTTTTTTATTTTCAACCACATATTTAAATAAGATAATGAGCAAAAATTTTTGGAAACACCAAGGGCAGAGAGTATGTAAATTATCACCCCATACAAAGATGAAAGTGGAAACCACACAGAAGGTGGTAAAATCTTTGCTTAACAGGGTAAGAATGTAACTTCTATCTCGGGAAGAGAACGACGCCCTTTCGTTTCGAAAATTAGAAGGGCATTGTAAGAACTATGTTATTAATTAATGTGATAAGTATGCGGATTTTGTATTAACGTATTAAAAATCGGGGAATACGTCAACCGACGAAGCATCATGACGTATTTGAAACGCCTACAACTGATAGTAATACCAAAATTGAATTAAACTAACTTTTCTGTACGGCCATCATAAGTCATAACAATCAAAAGTCATTTTATTTATGATTAAATATTACCTATTACAGTACAGACAAAATTAAATTGAACTAGCTTTTCCTTGCGATCATTAACATATGCTACACGACAAGAGGTACAAAAAATAATTTTATAGCCTGGCATATTATGATAGTAATACCAAAATTAAATTTCACTAACTTCTTATTAAGGTCATTAATATGTCAATTGGTAGGAAGCACAATAAATGATTTAATGTCCATGCATATTGGGATAGTAAGGGCAAAATTGAATTAAACNCAGGTAGGTACCTGCATTCGTTCATTGTCTTCCTCTTTATAGTACTGATTTTACTCCTCATTTTATCTTTCGTTCAACCCATTTATTTACAGGCCGTTGGTAGTGACATTAACCCATACATGGCGTCCGTATTGATAGGTACCGTTCGATTTTTAATGTCGATGGTAAACACAGTATTGCTTAAAAGGTTCCCAAAAAGGATCCTGATGATGGTCAGTTGTTGCGGTATGGCCGTTTGCATGTTCGTTTCTGGTCTTTTCACGCAATGGATACACGAAGGTGGAGTACCTTTTCACATTCATTCAATACCTTTATTTTATATAAGTACCTCGAAATCAATATTTATCAAATCAATAGTGACTTTAGACTTAACCATAACTTCAAGGATTAAGATCCGCCTTAAGTATAAATTCCAGCATAATTTACTCCTTAACTTTTATACCTTCCTCCGCTATATCCCATCGAATTATTCTCCTTCAAAGTGTGACCTAATTGAATAAAATAAAACAAAATTTCACAACCTTTTAATTTCACAAGAAATAATTGTTTCGTTAATCCTCAGACTCAAATATTTACTAGTATCTATTACATAGTATAGAGTGTAACTGGGGGTAGCTCAAGTTTCTAACTAGAAACTAAAGAAAAAAACCTATATATTTGGAAAATAATAAATATAAAGAATTAGGAGTATTACTAAACGACTAAACCGAATGTAATAATTGCCCACTTCCAAATTTGTTTTGAACAACCCCTGGGGTAGGTAGGTAACACCTACAATACTTTGTGATATTAGTGGTAATTACTGGAAGTTTGAGGAAGGCAAGATTGGCGAAACAATTGTTACTTGTGAAATAAAAGTGTGTAAAAACGTTGTTGTCTTATTTTATTCATTGAAATAGATTTTTATCAAGTACAGATCGAATCTGTTCACCTATCTTGAGAGTCCAAAAATTTAGCCATTCCAAAGTAATCCAACCAAATGGAAAATCAATTCCTTCCAACAGGTTTCAATATTATTGATTTTATTTATCTCGCTGTACATTTTAGGAACAACTAATCTCACATGGGTTCCCGTGGTGGCCCTTCTCATGTATGTGGTGACATCCATGATAGGACTTCTGGCAATCCCATGGACCATGACAGCAGAGATGTTCCCGTTGGATATCCGGGGCGTAGCCCATAGCATTGCCGTCGGGATAGCGAACATACTCATGTTTGCGGCAGTTCAAAGTTACAGGTCCCTCGACGTAGCCCTGGGGGGCGCCCACGCCGTCCAATATTTCTACGGGATTGTATCCCTCTCGGGGCTCATTTACGTGTTCATTTTCGTCCCGGAAACGTACGGGAAGAAATTGTCGGAAATCGAAGAGTATTTTAACAACAACACCATCTACTTGACGCAGAAATTGAGGGCAAAAAAGGAGAAGAAAAAACTGGCTCAAAATAGGAATCCGATAGTAAAAAATTCTAAAATAAAAAAGGAAGGTAGCAAGAACAACGACAACAACGAGCAATGTGAGAAAATGATACCTGCTTAGAAATACATATATAATTTGCATCTCGTAATGATAAACGATAGAAAAAATAACTAGTTCGTAGAAGAGCATCTCTAAACATTGTGATAAATTCTTAGGCGCAGATAATTATTATTTAATTAATTAGATATATAATAGTAATGCAAAGCAAAATATTTGGGTAAGTTGCGTACAAACAATAGCATTTTTTAATTATCTTAATGGCATTTTTTGTGTCGGTATACATACAAACGTTTACGATCTAATTTGCATTTCATTTTAATGTTAAACTGAAAATTTAAATCACAAAAACAAAGGAGATTATTAAAACATAAAAGTAATCGACAATAATATTGAATAATTTATGTGTTTATGTTGTAACGTTTATGTGACGAAGCCGAACTGTTTTCAATTTTTATTAATAAATTCTATTTATTATTTTATTGGCTTTTTAATCTTGAATGTTACCATTTGTTCTCTATTCTATGTACCGTATGCGAAAGTATACTTCGTTTACTTTCTGTAGCGATGTGACCTTCAGTTTGACCTGCGCAAAGTAGAAAAGAACAGCACTAGGCCAGAAAAGGAAGGAGACAACTCTTAACCGGTGACGAGCGTATAATCCGTACAGTACTGCACGGAAAAATTGACCATTTTATCCACTACAATTGCATTGCTCAAATGTGCTGTTATTGGTACCATTTACTACTGAAAATATCAACGAGATGTTTATTTATATCTGAAGACATATTAAAGACTTTAACGCTTGTTTTCGACTCGCACTAATATTCATGACTAAACAAAACTTTTGGCAGGTACTGTATGAAAAAGTATGTTTAATGAACAAGAGTCAAGAGTATAATGAGCTTTTTTCTCCCTACCTACGATTTTGCCAGCGCGCATCCAAGACATTGGAAGGGGCACATCGCTAGAGAAAGTAAATGAAGTATACGAATACGAATTAATACGCACTTCTGCGAAGCGGCAATGTAAAATGCTTAATATTTTTGTTATTCTAAACCCTTTAACTCGAATTTCTGCATTTTCCTGTAACTGGAGAATTAAGTGCGTATTTTACATGACAAACTGTCTCTTTAAGTCCAATTTTCTGAAAAAGCAGCCGCACAAATCACAGCTTGCGCTTTTAAGATTGTAATAAAGGTTATTAGAGGTGGACTTAACATGGACCAGGGATTGTACTGAACTCTAAAAAAATGTAGTACACCTCAACATCCTAGTGTATTTATGGGGAAAGTTGGCGTGCTCAAAGTTATAATCAACACCATGAACCAACGCAGAATCTATAGTCTGTTCAATAGGTATCGCGAATTTTGTGTTTTTATATGCCACAGTCAACATTCGGAACGCGTTCGCACACTTAATTTTGTTTCTACAACTCCAAAGTTTCAAAGGGTTTGACAGAGGGCCATTTCCGTAAGGGTCTGGCGTGGTTCTTCTTCTTACCGAGCGGCATGGCCTAGAGGTCTACACCATTGCTTAGCATTCGGGAGGACGCCGGTTCGATTCCGCGTCCGTCTGCCTTGGTCCAAGTTTTTCTGTGGTTTCCTTGGATCACTTAGGCAAATGCTGAGGCAGTAATATTCCACAGATAATCTTTCATTCTCTTCTGT